GAAGAGAACTTTTTTTTTCCTTGTTGCAGAATGATGCAAATTCCAATCAGGTGCCTTTGAGGTATGGTTTTATAGACTCTGCCTTTCCATTATCAGATATCTCAGTGTCATGACCAGTCCATTGGACTGCACAACATCTCTATTAATACTGGCATTGATTGCTCATAAAAAATAGGGTTTGTAATTAGGAGTGCATAAAGTTACTACCTGGAAGAGTGGATAAGGGGAAAATGAAATGAAAAAGTCACTTAATCTCAGCACTGCAGTTGTGCAAAGTGCCATTTATTTTTCTCCTCCTATAACCGAGTTCTGTGTTGATAACAAGCTGCTGGGTTAATAAATCTGTGGCAGCTATTGAGACTTCTCCTTTAATAACAGAGCTAATGAAGGAGCATTAAGGAAAGGAAAAATAGATTTTGCAGGGTTTATTCCCATCTTGGTGCTATGCTGAGTGCAAGAAGACTTGAGCAAGGAATTGTTTTTATAACAAAGTCCATTTGTTTTTTGCAGGGTCACCATTGCATTCCAGGGTTGTGTGTACTAAAAGGAGCTGCTGATTTGATTCCTCAGCATTTAATTTTATATTGCCTTCATTTTCATTTGATCCAGCCAGCTAAAAGATGGGGATTATTTTGTGATATAAAAATCTGCTTTGTTTCCCATTTTAATCCTTCACTCTTCTACCTTTCACTGCTCCAAGATCCTTTCAGCAGATTGAGAGGCCACTTTGAAGGTCGTGTGCTCACTTCTGAGACAGATTATAATGTCTGTAATGGGAGCAGAGTGGGTGTGCCCTGCTTTTAGAAGAAATGGACTTCTAAGATTAAAGTGAGAAATCCAATTCTCTCCCTGTGGGGTTACCAGAAGGCCTGGCTGGCACCCACAGAACCAAGATCATGGTTTCTAGTCATGTTTGCATGTTTTCAGAGTTACCTGAGCCCTGGGCAATGATTTCTTATTTCATTTCAACCACTTTTAACTTCCTCTTATTTTCCCTCTCCATCCCCCCTTACAAAAGGAAAGGGTTTTACCATTTATTGATGTTAAAGTTGATTTTATGCCAGAATAGTCAGTCATGTTTATGAGCCAGACTTGCTTTGTGCTGTATTCAATATGGTCTGTTACATTCAAAAGGTAAATACAGATGTTGGAGATAACTGAATGTGCATATTGAAAGTGATAGAAATTTAATGATTTTTCAAAATTCTTGCTCAAGTAACTGGAATGCTAGCCCAACCCAGTTTCACAAGGCATCAGGATATGAAACCATATGAAACGCTTTGTTTGCACTTAACACATAATGTATTAAGAAAATACTTTGTTATTAACTGAAGAAGGAAATTTTTTTTTTTTTTTTTTACAATTTTATTTTGTGGTTTGGTGTTTGCCTGCAGTCCCAGCCCAGCTTTGCAACTGCATGATGAAGGGAGAAAATCTAAAAAAAAAAAAAAATAAAAATCAGCATTTCTAAGACTCTTAATCTGTTTTTAACCTGTGGAGTTGAGGCTGATGTTTGGGGCCACTGAGAGCAGTATCAGTGCAGCCTTTGCTGCTGGAGGAGCAGCAGCACATCGGAGTTGATGACTTCCCTTGCTCTGTGCTTTAATTGCCAGCTCTTAGTGACACTGCAACCAGCACAGAGATTTATGCCCATGCAAAACAGATTGACTTAGGGTAATTTGAATACTTTATGCATGGCTAGGTTCATTAGGAAAAGGAGGCAAGGCAGAACTATAAAAAGAACTAATAATCTTGCTAAAGGAGCCGTTAATTCCCCACAGCCTGCAGACACGGAGCAGGGAAGGGGAGGCTGATTCTGCAGCCTCTGTTCCCTGTCCAGGAACAGATCACAGAGATGACTTCTTTGTCTCCTTTAATTGCCCGCCCGTGCCTGGCGCTGCTGGCTTCGAGCAGGGCCTGGGCTTGGAGGGGGCTCTGGGGGTCACCTTGGCCACCCTGTGCCCAGCCTGGCGCCATGGAGGGCAATGGAGGGAATAGCTGAGGATGGAGCTGCAGCCCTCCTGGGGCAGTGCCCAGTGCCCTTCAGAGCCACGAGGGGTTTGCTGCTCGTCAGTGTCCTGTCAGGAGGAGATTCCTGCTGGTCAGTGCCCTGTCAGGATGAGTTCCTGCTGGTCAGTGCCCTGTCAGGAGATTCCTGCTGGTCAGTGCCCTGTCAGGATGAGTTCCTGCTGGTCAGTGCCCTGTCAGGAGGAGATTCCTGCTGGTCAGTGCCCTGTCAGGAGATTCCTGCTGGTCAGTGCCCTGTCAGGAGGAGATTCCTGCTGGTCAGTGTCCTGTCAGGAGATTCCTGCTGGTCAGTGCCCTGTCAGGAGATTCCTGCTGGTCAGTGCCCTGTCAGGAGTGTCCTGCTGGTCAGTGCCCTGTCAGGAGGAGATTCCTGCTGGTCAGTGCCCTGTCAGGAGATTCCTGCTGGTCAGTGTCCTGTCAGGAGGAGATTCCTGCTGGTCAGTGCCCTGTCAGGAGGAGATTCCTGCTGGTCAGTGTCCTGTCAGGAGATTCCTGCTGGTCAGTGTCCTGTCAGGAGATTCCTGCTGGTCAGTGTCCTGTCAGGAGATTCCTGCTGGTCAGTGCCCTGTCAGGATGAGTTCCTGCTGGTCAGTGCCCTGTCAGGAGATTCCTGCTGGTCAGTGCCCTGTCAGGAGGAGATTCCTGCTGGTCAGTGTCCTGTCGGGAGATTCCTGCTGGTCAGTGCCCTGTCAGGAGGAGATTCCTGCTGGTCAGTGCCCTGTCAGGAGTGTCCTGCTGGTCAGTGTCCTGTCAGGAGGAGATTCCTGCTGGTCAGTGCCCTGTCAGGAGTGTCCTGCTGGTCAGTGTCCTGTCAGGAGGAGATTCCTGCTGGTCAGTGTCCTGTCAGGAGGAGATTCCTGCTGGTCAGTGCCCTGTCAGGAGGAGATTCCTGCTGGTCAGTGTCCTGTCAGGAGGAGATTCCTGCTGGTCAGTGCCCTGTCAGGAGTGTCCTGCTGGTCAGTGTCCTGTCAGGAGATTCCTGCTGGTCAGTGCCCTGTCAGGAGATTCCTGCTGGTCAGTGCCCTGTCAGGAGTGTCCTGCTGGTCAGTGCCCTGTCAGGAGTGTCCTGCTGGTCAGTGTCCTGTCAGGAGGAGATTCCTGCTGGTCAGTGTCCTGTCAGGAGGAGATTCCTGCTGGTCAGTGCCCTGTCAGGAGGAGATTCCTGCTGGTCAGTGTCCTGTCAGGAGGAGATTCCTGCTGGTCAGTGCCCTGTCAGGAGTGTCCTGCTGGTCAGTGTCCTGTCAGGAGATTCCTGCTGGTCAGTGTCCTGTCAGGAGATTCCTGCTGGTCACTTGTGCCCTGTCAGGAGATTCCTGCTGGTCAGTGCCCTGTCAGGAGGAGATTCCTGCTGGTCAGTGTCCTGTCAGGAGTGTCCTGCTGGTCAGTGCCCTGTCAGGAGGAGATTCCTGCTGGTCAGTGTCCTGTCAGGAGATTCCTGCTGGTCAGTGTCCTGTCAGGAGATTCCTGCTGGTCAGTGTCCTGTCAGGAGGAGATTCCTGCTGGTCAGTGTCCTGTCAGGAGTGTCCTGCTGGTCAGTGTCCTGTCAGGATGAGTTCCTGCTGGTCAGTGCCCTGTCAGGAGATTCCTGCTGGTCAGTGCCCTGTCAGGAGTGTCCTGCTGGTCAGTGCCCTGTCAGGAGGAGATTCCTGCTGGTCAGTGTCCTGTCAGGAGATTCCTGCTGGTCAGTGTCCTGTCAGGAGTGTCCTGCTGGTCCCTTGTGCCCTGTCAGCATACATTGTGAGCTGCTGCTCTCCCATTTTGGGCAGACACAACCATTCCCCTCCAGGCTGGGCACCAAGGACACCTCACTGCCTCAGGCCCTGAGATGGAAACAAAAGTGAGCTGGGGGAGCAAACTTGGGGTGAATGACTTCATTACATGAAGCTGTAATTCGAAAATTAACGCCCAATATGCAGATGCCCCAAACTTATCAAAGTGTGAAACATGTGACCCATGGTCCATTTTTGGGTGGGCTTTGTCTGCCCCAAATGTACCTGAAGGCTCTTCAATAAATAGAACTGCTCTTTATTCCCTTAATTCTGTGTTTAGGTAGCCCCAAAAGGCATCAACCTCTTTATGATATTCCAGCCCTGTGTAAAGGTCCCAGCCCCTCTGTTGGGACATCCTGGTGCTGCAGCAATGCAGGGACAGAAATGCTGCAGAGCAGCACCTGAATGGGACAGGGGAGAAAAGGTCAAAGGGAAGCAGCTACCAAAAAAAATAAAAGAAGAAAAAAAGGAAAATGGTTATGGCAGGAACTCACTGTCACAAAGAAAGATGGGAACCTGCAGAACACTGAGTGGGGGTTAATCTCCTGCCCCTTTCTGTGTGTGTGTGTATTCATGGCTTTCAAATTTTATTGTAAAGGCATTTAGGAGCGTGGCTGCTACTTGGTGATTGTTTTCCTGTGATAGAGACATATTTATTATTCATTGCAATAATCACTGGGTAATATTTTATACTGAAAGTTGTTCACGTTGCACAATCAGGAAATGCTCAGGAAGTGGCTGATTTAACTTTTCTATTTTTAACTCTGTACCAAATTACAGTGAGAGGTGTTTGGGCTTTTGGGCTTGGAGCGTCTGGCAGGTTTCCACTGGTCAGTGCGTTCCCATGAAAGTCGAAATGTATTTTTCCAGAGATTCTCTGCAGAAATAATTTATAAAATTTGAAGGATTTTTACCCAGAATTGTATTTATTATGTGCTGTTTCCAAGGGGACCGTGTTTCAGGATTCTCCCAATGCTTTTATCACCCAGCTTCTCTGATCAAGAAAGTAATTTATTGCTGATTGCAGAACTCTTGAACTCAGTCTGGCAGCTGCAGTGTGAAACTTCTCTGATCCAGTCTCCTACTTACTTATTTACATATCATTCAGAATGATTTTCAGGGCTGTTTGAAAACCTCTTGACATTGCATTATCCGTGTTTCAAATCTTGTGGTGATTTGTTTTTTTCTCTCTTTTTGTTGCAGATAACAAACGAGTGACTTTGGAAAGGTCTCGTTCTCGACACAACGGAGCAATTGCAGCTGTATGATTCTTCCGATGCCAAAGAATTAATGAATTGTTTTATTTACAATGAAATGGATGTGCTTTGGGAAGAGTTTATCATCCAAATTGGCAATGATCATAAAGGAATACTGGTATTGATTAAATGAGATGGTGTAAGAATATGTCATTTTAAAGCAGTTGCTAAAAAAAAATCCACATACTGTATCTTATTACCCCAACTACCAAGATCTGTAAACAGTGTTAAACAGTAGGGTATATATCTTATTTTCTTATGTTCTTTCTTTTTTTTCACCCCTTTTGTTTAAGCTGGCAACTCACATGAAAGGAGTTGGGGATTTCTAGGTTATGTTTTTTATGGGTAAGAAAATACACTTCTGTTGAAAGAGTACAGCTGTGGATTCCATTTGCAGTTCTGATTTGAACATGAAAGGAAAAATAATAAAATTGTATGTTAATAAATTCAGAGATGAGCTGGTCTACATTATCAGAATCTTTTTTGTAACCATAAAAAAGCAACACATAGCCCCAGTCAGGTTGCTGAAAACCTTATCTCAGTGTAAAGCCTGGTGGATTCAGCTGCCAGTGGGATACACCACATATCTACACTTCTGATATGATGAGGTGTAGTTACTTATCACTGCTAAAAAGAAAAAAAAAAAATTAAATCAAACAGAGCATAGGATTTTTCCAAAATTGTATCAAGGGCAGAATATGTTTTTAACTGTATCTAAGGAGGGATTTTTCTAATTGTGCACTTATATATTCTTTATAAAGCTGTTTGGGGAGAAAGTGTGATTGTCCTATTTTGATGATGCTAAAATGCCTGTGTGTAGGTTTTTAGAGACAAGCTACACCATGAAGTTTTTCAGAACTGCCTCTGAGTTTTTCCTCTGTTTCTCAGGTAAAACACCTAGGGGGTCTCCACTGGTGGATTTTAGTGCTGAGGGTTCAGCAGCTGCCAACACATTTCCTAGCTGGAGCGCTGCCTAGCAGTGACCAAGGCTAATTTTTGGGAAGCTCCTCCCGTTCCCCTTTGTGCCCAGGCCCTTGCACTGCAGTTCCTCAGTGAGCAGCTGCCCCTGTTTGTCCTGGCACAAATCCTGGGGAAATCACAAATCCCTGTCCCCTCTGTCCCCATCCTGGAGGGGATGGAGGGTTTGGAGTGGAATTCCAGTGGAACTACTGCAAAAGTTGCTGAGCTATGATGTTTGTAAAGGATCAGGACGCTCTGCAGCAGCTGGCACTTGTTCTCAGATTATTAATGCTTATCACTGATTGATGAATTTTATTGTGGATGCTTTTATTGCCTGGGGTTGTGGGGCACTTGGGGTTTTTTAGTGTCTGTAAAGGCTGTCTGGAAGGTGGGGTGTCAGTGGTTGCTGTGCACAAACTCCTTGCTCTGGAGGGACTTTGCTCCTGGGGCAGTGGATCTTTGCACTACTGCTTGAGCCAAGCATCTTTGTACAGTAAATTCTTTTTGCTTCTCTGCTGAGATCCTCTCAAAACTATTGGACTAGTCTGGGATAAATTCCCACAATCACAAACTGCGTTGTTGTAAGAAAAGATACAGCTCCTTTTCAATCTAGTATTGAATTGTAATTTTTTTTTTTTTTTTTCAAAGACTACAAGGGGTTTGCCCATAGCTCTAAACATAGGAATACCACTGAAGCCTAGTGAAATGCTTGCTGTCAGCTAAATACTCTCCCTAAACAGTTTAGGGGCTTTAGGAACAAACTGAAGAGTTGTATGGTACTTCAGGAAAAAAAAAAAAAAAAAAAAAAAGAGAAAAAAAAAGCATGCAACAGGATTTTATCCTTGTTTATCAGTAAGAGCTAAAAAGAATTAAAGAATTCTATCCTGTTTCGTGCAAGGTCAACATTAGCCTTGTATTGAAGCCCTGCTTCTTGAAATGGAACTATTAAATTTACACTTATAAAAATGTGCTTAATGTACAAAGCCAGTTTAAAGGATTAGGTTCATAATGTCTATAAAAATCAATAGTGTCTTAGAATTCAGACTTTGAAATTAGCATTTTGCTGGGATTTACAAGTATTGGTATAATCTTTCTATGTGAAAACTCAAAAGCTCTCCACAGAATCTTTATACGATAGCAGTAGTTATTAGTGCACAAGTTTCTCATTTCCATGGGTTATAATTTTTTTTGAAAGCTCTGTGAAAGCTGGCTACAGATTTTCAAGAACCAAATCTTAGGAAAAAAAGGCAAATCCAAAATAACAACATCATCTGATGCTTCTATTTTACTACTATTTTTTTCATATTTGAAACATTTATATAATTTAATGGACATATCGGTTAGAACGAAAGTGTCTTTCAAAGGAAAACTAGTTTAGAAGATAATTTATGTAAATATAGGGTGCTCGTATTTATGAAGTCTAAAATATTTTCTGAAATTGATGCTGGTCACTTTGTCTTTTGATAGTTTTTCAGTCTATATTAAATTGCAGATATTTTTAATGTTTTTATTATTGATCTAATTTTCAGAGGTGTCACATGTTTATCTAGAAGTGTAGAAGAGTAGCACCTTTTTCAGAAATGCACTTGCCTTATTTTCTAATTTTAAAAAAAAATGAAATATATCAGTTAAATTATATTTGTATTCAAAGTAATCCCAGAAAGAAAATCACTGGAGGGTTCATACATAAATTTCTTGCTAATTATGTTTCACTCTCTGTCCTCTGAGACATGACGTTAACAATATACCAGCACATCTGTTTGCATTCACATTTTACCAGTTACGAGTTCTGAGAGAGTTTGGTTTGGTTTTTTTAACGATGTTACACTGTTTACATTTCTTAGTTTATTTAAGAGGAAGATAATTTTACCTTTGCGATGAATCGAACCCAACCTCCGAATGTCGCGGGAACGGAAAGTTTCAGTGCTGTACAAATGCCCCATATCTGTGTGAGCTCAGAGCTGGGCAGGCACTGGGCTCCTCCTGCTCCAGTTCTGTGCAGTTTGCTGAGAGAACAGTGCAGCTGCTCTGTCCTGTGTGGGATCCACAGGGATCCGTCCAGCACACCCGTGATAAATCCGATTTTTTGGCTGAAACCAGAACAGGAGCAGTGCTCAGAGGGCGCGGGCAAACAGGAGCGTTGTCCCTTGTCCTGGTGTCAGCTGGCTGTGGTCAATGTGAGCAGCGTGATCTGAAATGATCTGTTCTTCTTGAGAATTGAGATACAACAGCGTTCCCACAGTTCCCTTCTGTAATATGCAAATAATCATGAATATCTGTATATTTTTGCATTTTTGTGTGTGGTATATGTACTACCTCAGACAAATGCTGTAAAAAAACCGTAATATTTTCATGGTTTCTATCCAAGCCACAATTCATTAGTAACCTGCTTTAAATTCATCCCACAACACACCAAACTCTGAGAATCTGGCTGAGTTTTAGGTTTGGCTCTGGAAACCCTCCTTTAGCTTTTGTTAAGGAAACTTTGCAGCCTTCAGCTTTCACATCCCTCAGGCAGGCCCTGCTTTGATGGGTGGCTCCAGCCCCTCCTACCCTGAGAATGAATATTTCAAACAGGTGATAGTTCTGTGGGAGCAAACTTCCCTGTGTGTGTAAATTGCTTTTTTTTCCGTTCAGCAAAGGCTTGGCTGAGTTCTACTTTGCTGTTTGCCTTCCAAGTGCTGCAAGGTCGGGCGGGACGAGTGCTGAGCAGTGTCCAGCCCGCCTCTGATGTGCCATACTGTATTTGCAAGTTTAAACTCATTTTTTGAGATAAGTCTTGTGAGGAACCTCTTCCCCCCGCGGTGTCTCCGCACCCGCCCGCGCATGCACGCGAAATGTAAATAAAAAATAACTTAAAAAAGGAAAAAAATAAATTAATCCAAGCAGGTGCAGCCAAATGCCTCAGCTGCAGGTGTCCCCAGGTGTCCCAGTGCTGCTTTTGTGCTGCAGGGAGGGAGTGGTGTGAGCACCCTGCAGTCCTGAGGCACCCACTGGTGTCACGGGGAGGGGAAAGGAGAAGGATTTGTCCTTGGGGTGCTTTTAGCACTGTTTGAGGTGATACATATGCCACAGAATGTGAACAATAACCTATCACACTTCAGTCAATCTGCTACCATGCACCATTTGATTTCCCTTTTGGAAGTCATAGGACTCCTGATGCCAAAAAAAAAAAAAAAAAAAAAAAAAAAAATAAAATAAAAAGGTGACAAAACTCATGCATTTCTATTTTTTAAACAGCTCTGTGTTTGTATGTAATGTTTAAAATAGGAATTTGATGAAATCACAGCCTGGCCATTGTTAATCCATGTATTCTGAAAACTGTAATAAAGATATACATACCATGATTCTGGTAGATGCACAATGTTTTACTTGATTACCATGATTATTTCCTGTTGAGTACCATCACCTCAAAGCCTGGGTTTGCTGTATAAAATTGTCATGCTGAAATTACATTCCATTTTAGCTTACTGTGGTTTTGTGGATTTCTGTCTTTTTTTTCTCTGAGGTGTCAATTCTGTTTGACTTGAATTTGGGGAACCAGGTGCCTTTCCCAATGAAGCAGGACTTTAAAAAACAAATAACCCAAAAAAAGTATATAATTAAAAAAAACCCTAATTAAATCACGGTGATACCATTTAATTTTTACAAAAATAACAATAAAAGGGAATCAATGAACAAATCCCATGGGTCCCTATTTATTTAAAGAGGCTGAATTTCAGTATAGAATTTCTAAGCAGACAAATAGTCAGACAGCTATTGCTGATGTTTTTCAAATTATTTAATTCATTCCCAGAATGGTCTTATCAGAACAGAAACCTGACAGACTCTTCCCTTCAAAACTGTTAATGATGTCACCACAACAGACTGAACTGCACAATAGTACAGAGAGATAGCACTGAATTTTACTCAAAATTCTAATTGGATATAACCCTAATGAATATGAGCAGCCATGTTAATACAACTCTCCTTAAGTAACTTTTTATATGTGGAAAAGATGTGCCCAGGGATGGTCAAAGGCACCATAAATATATATGTGTGTGTATATATATATAAAAAATTCCCCCAAACCATCTGCAAATGCCCACATAAATATTAAATTTTATATAAGCTTTGATTCTTGAAGCATTATTAATTATGGAGTTTTTCTGATAATGCTAATGTCGATGTATGGGTTTATTAAAATTGTCATTGCTGTCTTTAGCACCCTGTGCATGCTGATAGAGCATTTGTTGCTTTATGACATTCATGTTTTCTCATAATTACCTGTAAGCAGCTGATTCCCTGCCTTTAAATACCCATTATGTGAAACTTAAAAGTTCAATTCATTGTGGTATCAGGCGGTTAAAAATTATTTCATAAATTCTTTTTCACAAAACTGGGCCCGGGTTCTGTTTGGTAGAAAACATTTCCAGGTATGTCCAAGTCCCTGTGAATTTCCCCAGGCACAATGGGAGTGTCTTTTGAACCATCCCCATTACATCAGGCAGTGAGTAATCTGCAGTC